TGGATATGGAATATGAAATCTACCATATACCTTGAAAACTGAGTCGTGTGAAAAATAGGGAACTGACGAAAGTTGCGCCATTTTAGCACAACTTTCGATAATCATTGGAATCCCAGACACCCAGGCAGATCCACGGGGGTTCATGTTACATCATCCCATCAGTAGGGGTGGACCGAATTTCACAACTGCCCATTTTGCTCACCTCGTTTCAAAAAAAATGATTTTAACATCTTCAAGCACTGACTAAGTGGGGGGTTGAGAACAACAAGGCGGATGTTCATCAACAGACATGAGAAATGTTCCAATTGTTCACAATCATTTTTACTAATCAGTTCTGCGTGTCTGATGATATATGTGTATATATACGGTGTATATGCACTGTTTTGATGGTAACCCCTTCCAGTTTCACCATCCGTCCATCATTGCCCGATTTTTGATTTTTTTGCAATGGGCATAAATACGTATGTTTGTCATCTGGTCAATCAATAGGGCGAGGGATCAAAAAAAAATATTTAAGGCAAATCCAAAAATAAATATTTTAGGCATCAAAAAAAAATATTCCCCTGGAATCCCTTGTTTTCTATGGTTTTTGCCACAGTTTGGAGACAAAACTGTTGGAAGTGGAGCCTCTCGCCCGTAAGGTTTTTGCAGGACATTGGACCTAGAAATCGAGCATTCGCAGGGCTCGACGCTGCCGTTTCGACAGCACCTGCAACACTTTGGAGTTCGAATTTTTGATTTTCGATGGTTGCTTTCAAATTTACGTTGGTTTAAAGTTCGTTTATGTTTGGTTTAGGGTTGATTTAGGCTTGGTTTGATGCCTATTACGTTGACTTAGGTTGGTTTAGGGTTAGTTTAGGGTTGGCCTATGGTTTACTAGGTGTCTATTCAGGGTTGGTAAAAGGTTTATTTAGGTTTCGTTCAAATATGATTTAAAGTTATTGATTTTTTTTGGTGTTTATGTATGGTTGGTTTAGGGTTTATTTTGATTTTGTTCAAGACTTTGTGGTTTAGGTTTCGTTTGGGATCTATTGAAGGTTGGTTGGTTGTTTATTTGGGGTTGGTTCAAGATTTGTTTAGGGTATATTTAGGTTTGGTTTTAGGGTTTGTTTAGGGTTAGTATTAACATTTGTGTAGGTGCTGCTCAAAATTTATTTAGGGTTGATTCAGGATGTATTTGGGATTGGTTCGTGGTTGGTTTAGGTTTTATTTAGGGTTGGTTCAGGGTTTCTTTAGGGTTGGCTTAGGGGTTATTTTGGGTTGGTTTAAAGTCTATGTAGGTCTTGTTTCCGGTGTCTTTAAGGTGGATTTAGTGGTTGATTTAGTGATTTATTTTTGGTTGGTTCAGGGTTGGTTTAGGATTTATGTTGGCTTGGTGTGTGGTTTATTTGGGTGTGCTTAGGATTTACTTAGGGTTGGTTCGTTGTTTGTTTAATAAGTGTTTTTTACGGTTTATTTACGGTTGGTTTATGGTTTTTAGGGGTGGCTTAGGGTTTATATGGGGTTGGTTTAGGGATTATTTGCAATTGGTTTAAAGTTGCTTTTGGTTTCGCTTACAATTTATTTAAGGTTCGTTTAGGTTTTGTTTAGGGTTTATGTAAGATTTGTTTAGGGTTTATTTAAGGTTAGTTTAGGGCTGATTGAGGGTTGGTGTAGGATTCGTTTAAGACTTACTTTGGTTTGGGGGGTAGTTTAGGGGTTATTGAGGCTGATTTAGAATTTTTTACGGCTGGTTGAATTAAGGATTATCTTCAAAATGTTTTAAGGCACCAGAGCCACCAAAAGACGGAAGGACCAAGGGACCAGAAGAGCAGAGGACCAAGGGACCAGAGGACCAAGGGACCGGAGGACCAAGGGAGCAGAGGACCGAGGGACAGGACCAACCAAGGGACCAGGGGACCAAGGGAGAGGACTGAAGGACCGGGAGATTCAAAGATCACAAGATTTGAAAATGGCATAAAAGGCCCAAAACACTGCACCAGCGCAGGGAAAATGATTTTTTTTATCCCTTAAATATGTTTTTATTGATGCCTTATTTTTTTTTTGATGCCTTATTTTTTTCAACCCCATGCCCAATCAATAGTTCCAATCAATTTTATTTTATAAATAGACTAACACTTGGTTTGAACCCAATGTTTTGGAAGGATATTCCCCCATCTCATCAAGCTGGTTTACCCGGCTCAATCACACAAAAAATGATAAGTTGGTTTACTTTTTCTGAAGTTGATATTGTTTGGTTCATACCCACCGCACCATCAAATTGTGTGGTTGGGTGAATAGCCAGTATTTGCGTGTTTCCAACTCAGTACCAAAAACCGCACCATTTTTTCTAGAGATTGTTTGTTGGTTGACCCATTGTTTTCGATTCATATCCACCAACATGTTCGGGAACAGTTGTCAAAATGATATTGAAGATTCATCCTATCATATCCTTATTGAACCCATATATTCCCAACTGCACTAAATCCTCATTATATATTCCCAACTGTATCTACGTGTGACCAAGAACATGGCCATATATCCCACAAATTATTTTTGGAGATAATAAACGATGTAGTTCGCCATTGGCACCACGTTGGCCATTGTAACTGTAACTCCAACTCATGTTGAAAAGTGTACATGAAAAATCCAGCCAAGCGCCTCACGCTCGTACTGCGAAATGTCCGTCACTTCCTTGGCGGCCATGAGGTGTTCCCGGTGCCTGGGGCACACACACGAAAGGAAGCTACGGCGTTTGGGCGTCGCAAGTCCTCGTTGGTTGGTATCCCACAAGTGTATGCATCTAATCTAATATATTTATATATACAAATATGATTGACATTTTTCCCTTCTCTAGGATCTCTAGGTCTGTGCTTTTATTTCTACAACTAAACATACGGTATTATGTGTATTTGAAATACACATGTACATTTTGTGTTCGCTATATGGTCGGAATTTTCAAATCCACAAACCGACGTATTTTTGAGAAAAATGTAAAAACAAACAACGCAAAAGTGCAAAAGAAATAAATGGACATGCTAAACTATGCCTGAAGAATCAGGAAACCATCGCACCCCAAAAAAAAACCTTTGTGGACTACCAGTACTCTTCTTGCAAGCCCAGAATTTGGATCATAAAATGGCGACCAGCTAGCAGAAATGTTCACGCCATTTTATGGCTTAAATCCGAAATAATATACAAGATAAAACAAGCGTATTCTAAATGGAAGCCCGGCGCGAGAACAAAGAAACACATTAAACACACAACAAACACCTTCAGCACACATGTGATGGCTCAGCAGCTGGCCTGTCTAATAAAATCCAGGGGCATTCGGCAGCTTTGGCCGGCCCATTACATGGTTCCACGCGTGGACAAGCATAACCACCTCAACGAAGGGTGTGTTCTACAGCTAGGGTGTAGATTAATTTTTCTGGGGGTGATGCAGTTGCCTCTTCGATGTCTTCATCGAGTTCTTCATTTTTTTGAGGCTGTGGCGACTTCCCGCACATGCCTTTTGATCAAACGTAAAACATCAATCGATCCCGACATGCAAATGATGTGGGGGAGGCACCTGAAAGCCGTCCTGGGCAGCGTCATTTTGCAAGACACCGTCCATTAGTTTTAGCCTTGGTGTGGAACAGAAAATGTTGCAGTGTTTTATCCTTGGCCTGACAAAAGGCCAGAGGAGGGCCATGCCTCCTTGTATGCAGGCTCTTTATGGAAGATCGCCTCTGCGTCCATGGTTGAGGCCAGGACGACAGCCAAAAAAAAAGAACCAAAACTGCAACTTGAAGCGTAGTGCTGCGGCAATGTGAACTTTGGTCACAAGAACGAAACCGCCGAGCAGCGTCCAGAAAGAATATAATTTTAGTAATTACAGGCAATTTCCCACATGGACAACATGAGTATGGTCGCAACGGCGCCCTTTTCAATCAAACTGGTGTACATTACGCAAACGCCTATGCTTTGTCAGTTGACATGAAAGCAACTTTTGGTAAACCAAGCATTGATACTTAATCTTTCTTGCACATCTTGCTCAACCAGAGATGAAACCAGAAGCTTGCCGCTCGGGGCAACTAATATATATATATATATTATATGTATATATAAATAAATAAATTCATAAATAAATAAAATTGACATTTCTCCCTTCTCTGGGATCTCTAAGTCTGTGCTTTTATTTCTACAGCTGAGGCTGACGCAATACTAAACATACGGTATTATGCGTATTTGAAATACATGTACATTTTGTGTTCGCTAGATGGTCGGAATTTTCAGATTCACAAAATCGACGTATTTTTGAGAAAAATGTAAAAACAAACAACGCAAAAGTGCAAAAGAAATAAATGGACATGCTAAACTATGCCTGAAGAATCAGGAAACCATCGCACCCCAAAAAAAAACCTTTGTGGACTACTAGTACTCTTCTTGCAAGCCCAGAATTTGGATCATAAAATGGCGACCAGCTAGCAGAAATGTTCACGCCATTTTATGGCTTAAATCCGAAAAAAGATACAAGATAGAACAAGCGTATTCTAAATGGAAGCCCGGCGCGAGAACAAAGAAACACATTAAACACACAACAAAAACAACGCAGCACACCTTCAGCACACATGTGATGGCTCAGCAGCTGGCCTGTCTAATAAAATCCAGGGGCATTCGGCAGCTTTGGCCGGCCCATTACATGGTTCCACGCGTGGACAAGCAAAACCACCTCAACGAAGGGTGTGTTATACAGCTAGGGTGTAGATTAATTTTTCTGGGGGTGATGCAGTTGCCTCTTCGCTGTCTTCATCGAGTTCTTCATTTTTTTGAGGCTGTGGCGACTTCCCGCACATGCCTTTTGATCAAACGTAAAACATCAATCGATCCCGACATGCAAATGATGTGGGGGAGGCGCCTGAAAGCCGTCCTGGACGGCGTCATTTTGCAAGACACCGTCCATTATTTTAGCCTTGATGTGGAACAGAAAATTTTGCAGTGTTTTATCCTTGGCCGACCACCTGAATCACCTCCAAGCTTCAGAAACGCACAATTTGCAGAAGTGTTTTCCATCGATCTTTCCCTCGTCCAACTGCCCAACCTGAGGACAGGGCTCCTAGCTCTAGGTCGGTCTCAGGCTTGGGAGCTTCACCCGGGGTCTCTTCGGCTTGAGGGACAACATGGTTTTGATTGTTTTTTTTGCTTCTGCGCGCGACATATTTCGCAACTCTTTCTTCATCACGGATTGGTAGGTCATACTGCTGGCAAGGAAGTCCCCCGGATTACCGCGGTAGGCGTCGCAAACTTTCTTTATTTTGTGGATATGTGCTCGCATGTGGCTGCTTCACTCCATGGACATTTATCCAACTCAACCAAAACATATCGCGAAAATAGAAAAACCTTACGCACCCAAACCCTGCCCACAAAAAAATTGGACAAGTGGCTCCTACAAAGTTTTCGCAAAAGTTGCGGCCGACATTGTGACCAGCAAGTACAGAGTGGTGAGAAAGCCCAAGATGGGACCCTAGTATTTGTATGTGGCTATACTGTAGGAAAGGGTTGCTGACTGAAAACAAATGTCTGATTGGAATCACTAAAAGGCTGACGAGCAGTCTGCAAAGGCAAGATCCTCTTCTTGGCATCCTCTCCACCTTCATCTTGGGGTTCAATATGTTCAATGTTGGAGTTCCGTCTGGTACCGACCACTTGTTATCATGATTATTTGCTTTATCGCAATTGTGACGGCTAGAAAACATGTGTGTATGTTCAAGTGTGGGCAAGGATTTTACCGATCATGTCAGATGGCAAAGATTACTATGCAAAGAATTACAATGCAAAATGGAGATGAAATACATCAATATACATCAATTTGCAATACGACCGCATAGTATCAATTTTTCTTGGTCAGAATCTTTGCTTGTCTTCCCGAATTCCAATCTGTTAGTCGTTTAAATCCCATCTAGTTCTACTTTGCTGCGTTCAATTCCAAGTTTCGCATGTTGCAGAGTTCAAGACTTCTATAGTATCTTATGTGTTGCTGCTTGAAGACCATGTTTTCCATGTTTTCCATGTTTTCCATGTTTTCCATGTTGTTTGTGTTTCCCATGGCTGTTCCCCATCCACCTGGCAATGCGACGCTGCCACTGGCGGAACTGCGGGAGGCTCAACGCCTGGAGTCCGGGGATGGGAAATCCAATGGGAAAGCCATGGGAAAAGCATTGAAATTATGAATTCCAATGGATGATCATTGGATCATGGTGTTCTTTCAATATGCCATGTTGATCCATTTTGATCCATTTTGGGCTTGGTAAGCAGAGATACCCGCATGCTAAATATCAGGGGATCTAAGCACCGAAAGTAAGGATTGAAATCTTATTTGGGTCTGGGTATGGAGAAGTTTATTCATTCCAGGGGACTTGAGATGTTCTACTCATTTGAAACCATCTGAATGAATCATAGTAATAGCCATTGACACCCGCACTCAACGGTATAAATGGGATAATAAATGGTATAATTGCCAACAATATGTGAAATACATGTTGATGCCACATTCCGCATAGAAAATGTTACTGCTACCACAGCAATTTTTACCACAATCCAGCAAACGGGTACAAATAGGAAGGTTTTAAACAGCAAACACAAGTGAAGGTTTCCTAAAATGCTGGTACCTCCAAATCATCCATTTTCATAGGATTTTCCATTATAAACCATCCAGCTATTGAGGTACCCCCGTTTCAGGAAACCTCCAAATGAATATGGATGTAAATGGATGTACTACAACTAGGCGGTTGACAGGCACTACCCTCAAACAAGTTGGTATAATTCCATGCATGGCAACCCAAAAAAGATGCAAGGAGGAATTTGCCATTCATTCAGATGAGGATTTTACTCATTACTCTTCTATCCTTTTTGGGTCAGTCATATTTCGTAAATCCTGTCACAAGTTACGTGTTCTATCATCATTTAGCAAGAATTACGTAGAATTATATAGAATTACCACATCTTCATCCAGTTGTTTGCGGAAAATCACCACTTTAATAGCTAAATCAACTATTTCTATGGGCTATTTTCAATGGCAAACTGTTAGTTTACCAGAGGGTAACCCAATGGAAAATTCTTGTCCTGCGGCTCTTGCGGCACTTGCCATGCTGCCGGCTTCACTGGCTTGGCAGCCATGGCTGCGGCTGCCTTCCCGGCCACGCCCCACGAACCAAAATGGTGACCACCACGGTTAGAAGACATAGGAAAGGCGGCAGATGCCCCGTTGTACTGGTTATATGATGTTATATATGGAAAATGGCCTATTTATAGATGACGTATGATCATTTATCTATTAATAATCAAGATTTTCCAAAGGAATATATAGAGTGGACCGTATATATGATGTTTGAAGTCGCTATATCATTGTTGGAACTTGTTATATAGGTGGTTTTTTATGTTGGTACGTATGTAACATATGTAGAACCAACAGTCATCATTGGGATATATATATATATGTATATATATGAGTTGTGAGTGTGTCTGAAAACGGGAAATTGGAGTGTAGGTAGCCTTCTTTCAGACAAAGCCATTTACTGATATCATAATTCAACATGTCATATGACATATCCAACTATAACCTATGATCTATGAATAATATCAGACTTGATTCAACGCCGTCAGATCGAAGGTTAACCATCATCTACTGTGTAGTTGACGTTCTACGAATTAAATTATCCAAAGACCATGGAACTGCAACAGTTCCAGGTTGGTGGCTGAGCCGCCCAGAAAAATGTTCAGATCATTGGGGATCATCATTTCGCCAAGTAGTCAGACAGTTATAAAGTGTTCAAGTGTTTACTTGTGCACACACTTGTATACAAGCGCTTTGGAGTCTTAATGATGGATGAAACGCAAGGTAGCATCCATGACTTAGGGGCTGCTAAACTTTTTCCTGAGATGGTTGTGGCCCAACAAACATCTGAGGACAGCCATCAAATTCACATCGAAAATGCCCAGCAGCATGCCAGCCCACCAGAGGAAAATCCGAGAATGACCGTATGTCAAACGACATCCTCATTATTAACTCATGATACTTACACATTGTCTGGAGATGTTTTTTGAGCAATTCCGATCAACGATTGTTGTAGACAGGTGAGTCGGGAGGGTCGAGTCGACATGGAACTGGAACCCATAGGAAAAATATGGAAAAAATATGGGGAAAATGGGAAAATATGGGAAAATCCTCAACTAATCCTCTTCCCAACCATTCACAGAAGGTGAACCCCGTGTGCGAATTGTCAGGGCACAGAAGGTCGGCTTTTTCCCTGGCATTTTCACTGAGATCTCTCAGTTGTCAAGACTTGTTGACACAAGGTCCATAACCAAACATTGGGAAAATGATGGATTGCTCATATTTAGGGGGTTCCTGACCCCAAACTCGTCCAAAATTGATCATGTTTATTGGCGAAGCAACGGTTTCGGATATCACTGGGTCTGGATCGAAATCTGCGGATCCCAAAATTTCGAATGGATCCAACTAAATCACCACTATCTTACACTGGTTGCATAGATCTCCTCATCGTCCCTTACATCCGCATTGTTGCTCAAATCCTCATTGCTTAGATTCTTGTTAGTTGCTTGAATCCTCTATGGTTTTTTCCGATGCCAATTCTTGGCTACTTCAATCACTGTAGTTCAATTCCCCATCAAACAAGTTGGACCTTGTGATTTTGGGACATCCACGTCCATAATGTGAACGCATCGCCGCGTTCCGCGCCGCATCGGCGATGTTTGGGGCCCTGCACCAGCCATTGGGCATGATCCGATCAGGTTTCACATGACTTCACATGACATTGGGCATTCGGTTCCGAAGAAAATTGGGGAAGGCATTGGGGAAGGCATTTTTCCATTTCAAAAGATGCCCTGCAATCAAGCTCCTCAAGCGAGAAAATTCCATCTCGGATCATGCACCGGTATTCATCATTAAGCAGATGTTGTCGCCTTTTAGCAGAATGCGGCCTGGGCAGCGCTGGGGACTTTTTGGGCAGGGGTGGCAAGGGACTTTATTCCTTTGAACATGAAGAGTCAAACATGGAAATAGGGATTGACATCATGAGGAGTTGGGGTTTTGGTCAAAGCAGAAAACTACGCTTGGCAGTTTCCTTCCACAGCTGCGCTCAAACCACTTGACTTTGCATTCAGAAAGCTGATTAAAAAGGGGAAATTGCGGTGTTGTTGACAACAATCGATAAACATAGCAAACCTTTGAGACACCACGCACAAAAACTTACCGCGATCCCAACCAGGATTTGTTATCTTCCTGCATGAAGCTGACATTCAAAAACAACATGTACCCACCATTCATCTGTCAAAACTGGTTTCCTCTGAAGTGAAGGTCCCAGTGGTAATAATATGTAATTATTAATCCGCAATGAAATGATGCTCCAGGAAAAAACACAAGAAACCATAAATATTGCTCACACAGTATCAATTGTCCTGCAATTCTTCCCTTCAACCCAGGTCAAATATTTGCTGAGGTCAAATCTCCACTTTTGATACCAAGTTGTACCGAGTTGTACCGCTATACTGTACCCACATCTTCTTGGTTAAACTGCCATTTTTACCCAGCCAAGGCTATTTTCGTCTAAACCCAAATAGTTCTTGAGTGAACCACCATTTACCCTAGACTTTTGGTCGGGCCAAGCCCCATTTCTGTTAATTATAAAAACCCATCCTCTGGAAATTTAACATAGCTATGAAAATGACACATTTACACATGATTTACCCATTATAAATTGTGATGTTCCATAGCAAACTGTTAAATTGCAAGAAGATATATTCCCATGACTGTCCTATAGTATCTATAGTTCCATTACATCCCCATATTTTGCTGCTTAACTCCTGTTTATAGGGAACCCTAACCAAGTTTTCCCTCCAGCGAGCAATCTCCCAGTGGCCAATCGCGCGGCGAGTCTTCTTCTTCACCAACACTTCCTGGACGACGATGACCAGTTCGGGTGTCCCGTGCCCGTATTTCACCGGCAAAAAAAATGAAAAACGTGAAAATTTGTGGAAAATTGGAGCTTAAAGAGAAGAAAGAATCGGGACAAAGGAAGGAAAAATGATGGTTTTAATGGCGAAAAGGAGTTCAAGCTCTAGTCTAGTCTAATCCCATGGTGAGATACAGTGAGAAGCATCAAAATATGGAGGGATACATGGAGTTTTTAGCAACAATCATTATAGGGAGTATATCCAGCCAAGTAAATTGAGAAAAGCAAGCAAAATGGAAAGCAAGAAGAGTTTGGTTTCACCGCGCTGGTGAACAAACATGCTGATGGAAACACTCGCGTGTAATTCATTTATCTGGGAGTTTTCAGCAAATCCGCAAAATAGGATGCTGTAGAATCAGCAAAACTTGACATGAAACCAGCAAACAGAGTGGGAATATTGATTGAGGTCTCCGGTTACTACTGCAAATTCTCGGAATGGGATATCCCTAGTTGTAGTAGGCATGAACATCTACAGATGTTAATTCTACCAGAGAATCCAGCAGCCTTGTCCAACAAAGCCTGGGAAATCTCAGACGTACTTTAAAAAATGGAGATAGACCGTGTGTCGATCTAAATTCGGCAAGTAGTTGATACAAACCGAACCGACGAAGGGGCTAAGCGGACAAAACAATAGATATGATATTACGGCAGGTTTCAACGTATCCACAAAAATAGTGGTCAGTTGGGATTATGATCCCAAATAACAAAGTGTGTTGCGGAAAAAACATGCAAACTTGCGAAAACAACTATTTTTTCTTTGCAAGTTGAGTTCTGGTCCAGATCCTCCTGATTCTTCAATCCGCAATTCTTCAATCCCCCGGTGCTCCAAGTTTGGCCCCTCTGTCCCCATCACCGCGAGGATGTCAAACCAGAAATCTAAAAAAGCATGGTTTCATTGAAAGTTGGGTGCCCGATTCAATTGTCTTTCACCATGGTGAATACCGGGAATCAAACATGGCGTGCTGGAAAATGCCCCAGTTAGTTCGATGATTTTCCAACGGTACCCAACACTAGTGTGGGGATTTCCCAGCCATGTTTGATTATCGAAGGGTATCCTCCACTTTGGTGATAAACTTCCATATATTCCCATAATATCCCGGTGAAATGGTTGGTCGAATGGATCATTGAATCACCATTAAATCACCATTAAATCACCATTTTTGTCAGTTAAATCCCATGAAAACAGCAGTTTCAATTGCCAAAATGGAAGCCTCGGACCGAAACTCCGCGGACCGATCTTTCTCAGTTCATCCCTACCTCGGCATCGTCGATGACCAGGTTCATGTACCTCGGCATCGTGTCACACTTCAGCCAGTGCCCCTGGCCTGGAAGACCATGTGAAATGGCAATAGATGTGGAGATAGGAGGGTATCATCAATAAATCATGGTAATATTTATTGATAGGCAATAATTTCATATATGGTCGCCTGCGTATTAGAATGTATTAGATACCCAGCAAAAAACTATCCACATGTGACATTCCTTCAACATCCTTCAACGAGATTAGACCATTCACCCACCAAACCAGGGTCCACCCAGAAACGTACCGGCAATGGATAGAAATAAACCAAGGGTTGGGGTATGTTGGGGTCAAACGATGTCAAGCGCGTCTAAACATGGTTGATTGAGTATCTCGCAAAGTCCGTAAACCTCCACAATCCATCAAAGTTCGTTAATGCCGTCCAGCAATCCACAAACGGAACTCAGGTCAAGCGATTCGACGTTGAGACCTACTGTACCCTATCTGAGTTGCCAACAACCCCCTGTGTGGGCTTCTGAAACCCCAATGTTCCTAGTTATAGCCTAGTTTTAGCCCCCTCTGAATAGTTGCATGCATGTATCATGGCGCATCTTCGATAGCAAAAACAACATCAAATGTCCCATCAAAACATATCAAAACCAGCAAACACCATAAGCACCATTCAATCCATTCACCGAAAGCCACCCAAGGACGACCCAGTCTCCCAGGGCACTCGTCAAAGCCCAGGATTCGTCCCTCAATCCGGAGATCAGCTTGCTCGTGCAACCAGACCTGCGCAGAGACGCGAAAATCTGGTTGCCATTCTGATGATTTTGTTAACCCCATCAAAAATGCATAAAAATGTGATGCGCGTGAAAAAATGATCATAATTTTGATGCACCCTTCTATTGATAAACAGTGATGGTATTCAATTTCGCGTGCACGTTGGCGGTATAAAATTGGTCTTATAATTGTTTACCGTCACATGTGCATACATGTAATTCTACACATATCAAAATATATCATAATGTGTCGTAACATTTATCTCTGCAACCAAGTTTATGTAATGTATACATTTTCTAGAGGAATCTATAGAAATTCATTCTACACACATCTATCCAAATATCCTTTGGCGATCAAACATGTCAATGGTAAATCCGTGCATTAAATTGGGGGAAATCATCAAACCAAACGGGTGATTTTCCATGCCCTATGTCTGAGGTCGGTCACCAGTCACCTCAGTCACCTCAGTCACCTCACCACGATGCACTCGGCCTGTACCCGCGATCGATTCTGCAGGTATCTAAAGATCTGGTTGATCGGCAGGGTCCTCAGATCCGGCCAAAATGTTCCGGTTTTTTGTAGGAAAAACCCATGGGAAATCCCCATTGAAATGAATATGGGTAAGGTATAAGGTGGATGCAAAGAAAATTGATGATTTATGGAATCTGAAACCATCCCTGGGCAAATGTTTCGCTTTCAAAACAAGCCCGTATCTTATCGTTGGTTAGTTACATCCGGTTCTTTCCCCAGACTAACATTCCCATTATGGTTGGTTTTGTTCTTGCAGGTGTTTTGGACTAAATTCCCTAATTCCTCCCACTGAAGTTGATTGGAGTCGTACTGCTTTTCCACTGTTGAGAGGTTCTATACATTTTTGGAATGTCTAAATTCATTCAAATTTCCAAAAACAGGAGACCACAGAAATCTTCCCATTTGGGCCACAACAAAAAATACATTCTTGGACTGGCCCCCCACCATCTGAAACTCTCTATCTGACATATTTTCTGACATTCTACCTAACATGCTCTCTGGCATTCTATCTAGAAGTCAATATGCCGCCCTATATGACGTAAATACTGGCATTCTACCTGACGCATTCCAAGTGGCATATTATCTGACATTTCATCTGGTAATCCATTTGGCATTTCATCTGGCATTCTACATGACAGTCTATCTGGCTGTCTATCTGGCATAAATTCTGACATTCTCTCTGGCATTCTATCCGGCATTCCAACGGACATCTTACCTGACATTTCATCTGGCAATCTATCTGACATTTGATTTGGGATTCTACCTGACATTCTATTCCTCATCTCTTCTGGCATTCTACCCATTTCTTGGGTATCTCACCGCAGGTTTTTTTCCAAAGGCGTTTCTGGTGCAACCAACGTCTTTGCTGGATACCCTTTCGGGCATAGGCGCACCTTAGTGTTAAGGCTAAAAGTAGAAAATGACATCATCCTCAATGTTCTATTTCAACCACTTTACATATGGGTATCAATACGGTTCTCAGTGGCTGTATTTTCCTGTTTGGTGTGTGTGTGTGTGGTTTATTGGTCTTATGCATTCTTCAATCCAGAGCAAACGGTTTTATCAGGCTTTGCAGCCAGTTTTAGCAATGCCGTATGTGCATAAAAGTTATGGGAAGTGACCATTGGGTCGCTGATGCTACAAGACATCATCGCTGTGATATTTCAAACCTTGGTCAAAACAAGAACCCTTCCATTTGGGCTTTGTTGCTGCTGGGGCTGCCAGTACTGAGGCATCCGTTATTGCAGCTGTTAAAGCGTGTAGGTTACAATGAACTTTTGTGCTTTGTAGATTTCTACTGGCATTTGGTTGTGGACGGCTGTTTAAAATTCTTGGGTCAAAAGCCGATTTGGGGGCTTTGGTCCTTGGGATGCTGATTGCCAATCATCCAAAAACACTAGAGCTGCATTCATTTTATCAAAACCACTTTGTTTCCGTTTACCTCTGGGTAGAAAAATGTGCCTGCGACCAATTATATACATCGTCATAGCGCGTGGCATTAACACCTTTGCCACGGTGAGCTGTCGAAAGAACTTCGCACGAGGCGCCTGCAGTTTCTAAAACTGATTCATCTGCTTAGTTGGTTGTTAAACAATTTTCGGATCCCATAGAAGTATACCTCATGCTAGGGTATATCACATGATATCCCATAGAAGTATACCTCATGCTTAGTTGCCAAGTGTTGGGCCAATGGCGAGAAACTTTCGGACCAAATGGCTGATACAGCGCATACACACAACAGTCTGAAGGAGCCCTTCTGGTGGAGGGAGGCAGCTCCCTCATACAGTGGCGTGCTTAAATTTGGTGCTCTCCATGAATACGCCCTTCTTGAATACGTTCAAGAACAATCGTGGTAACTTTCTAGAGTTACTCGATCGGGTATCTGAGACCCGCTTTTCAAAGACACTGTTGTGGATCGTGCATATTACTCAAAAACCGTCTGCATCCTAAGGACCTCATCAATATTGATATGAGTTATTTAGCTAGAAATTTATGTGTGAGCTAAAGGAATGTTTGCAAATTGCTGGCAAAATGCCAAGGACCATCCGGAAAAAATACTCTATGCATCCATCTGCATGTAGAAACTGTAATTCGAATTAACGAGGTGATCTAGCAGGAGAGAATCATGAGACTTCCGCATCTTATGGTAATATTGAGTGCTGATTTCAGGTTTGAGCATTGGAGTTTGAATATCCTTGCCGTGCGATAACATCAAGTCGGTGGCAATACATTTTTGATCAATGGCGCGATACAAATCCGCCCACACCGCTTTGGCGGTGAAGGCGTGCTTATTGGGGGGCAACAGCAACACTAAATGCTCAATGACATTTGTTAATATAGCAGTCGCTATATCAGCTTTAGTAGCTTTCCGGCAATGGAAAAACGGCCAAAAATGAAAAAAACATTGTACATAGCAAGATTTTGCAAGGTTTTTGGATGCCAGAGCATTGAAAACACTGCAAAAACAAGTGTTTTGGACTGACGTTATAGCAAAAAACGTGTAAATTACCGTATGCTTGACTGGAAACATTACAAAAACACTGTCAAAAGCAATGTTTTGGAAGGATTTACTGCCTTTATGGCAAAAAACGTCTAAATTACCGTCTGTTTGACTGGAAACATTGGAAAAACACTGTCAAAAACAATGTTTTGGAAGGATTTCTTATATATATGTTGGAGTTGGCTACCGGCATTGGCACATGGAAAAATTGAAGAAAACAGTGTAAATAGCGGTATTTTGGGGAGATAAGGGAATTGGAAGCATTGTCGAACATGATGTTTTCGACCGGTTTTATGGCGACAAAAGTGTAAAGTACCGTGCTTTGAAGGAAGCCATTGCAAAAACATGGAAACACATTCAAAGAACACGGGATTTGGGAGACTATCTAGGCGTCGTTGTCTAGCTATTTGAAATTCCGCAGCTTGGAGAGCCTCCAAGGGAGGGAAAAGTGAAAATTCCATAGCTTGGGAAGCTGTCACGGCGGGGAAAAGTGAAAATTCCCTAGCTTGGGAAGCCCCCACGGGGGGGAAAAGTGAAAATTCCCTAGCTTGGGGAGCCCACGGGGGAAAAGTGAAAATTCCCTAGCTTGGGGAGCCCCCACGGGGGGGAAAAGTGAAAATTCCCTAGCTTGGGGAGCCCCCACGGGGGGGGAAAAGTGAAAATTCCCTAGCTTGGGGAGCCCCCACGGGGGGGAAAAGTGAAAATTCCCTAGCTTGGGGAGCCCCCACGGGGGGGAAAAGTGAAAATTCCCTAGCTTGGGGAGCCCCCACGGGGGGGGGGGAAGTGAAACTTCTTAGCTTGGGGAGCCCCCACGGGGGAAAACCACCCTTAGCCCCTCTCACGGACCGAAATAAACCTGCGGTGTGGGCGGCCACCCCACGCGAAGCGGGGTGAATATGTTGTATCCCTTTGGCTTTTGACAGCCGTCTCCTCAATGTGATGCCAATGGCCAACAAATTCAATCTTATTCACAGACAATAGACTTTTTAAATTCAGTAGTACTTGTAGCATACGTTCGAATCCATGGCAAAATGGTCGTCTTATTTACATCCACGCCCCGCTCATGTAGCATATCAGAAAATTATTGAGAAGACAAAGCAGTTTGACAATACCAGCGGACACAAAATAAGATACTTCACCAGATAGATGTCGTCCTTTGAATGCGGGCTTCATGGTAGGTCCTTAAGACTTATCATAGAACCACCCCAGCTAAACCTAAGGTGCTGGCACCCATGGTGTTTCGGGGGCACAAAAGGAGGAACGTCTTCTGCTTGCGGTTCATCTTCATCATCACGCTTTACCATGAAGAGAGAGGCATGAAAATATCAGATCTTCGATGACGATGGTCTTATCTACTTCCAAAGGTCTGCGGGAGATTGTTTTGATCACGCACGTGCAGCGCCTTGAATCTGGCATGTGTTCAGGTCCATGTGCCCAGACTGATCTGGAGAACGCGATAGGGTTCGGGTCCATGCGTTCCGAGGCCCAGGCTGAGCTGGAGCTCGCCGTGAGTTGAGCTGGCATTTGCTGTGAGATCCGGGTCAGTGGCGACGAGCTGGCACAAGAAGAAGGCAGCGGAAGAAGGAGGGAGGGAGTGAGTGAGTGAAGGAGGAATTTTGATAAAATCAGAGACCCTCACCTGGTAGGTGGTGAATAAACTTCCATTTATCCATTTTTTGGTCGTTAGATTTCAATGTTTCAGACCATCAATCATCTTCATCTTCAATGCCAGGTTGCATGATCTTCTGAAGTTTCTTGTTGCTGATCGCCATGGCTGCCTCCTTGCTGATTCGGCCACGAGATGAAGCGACAAAAATGGGAGATGTCCAAATACCCCCTTAAAATTCACCTGAAGCCAACAAATGGGTTCCCGGAAGATGTTTGTTTAATTTCAGGGGAAAAAAACAATTTCGGGGAGTTGTTTGCTAGATGTCCGGAGAATCATGATTTTCGTCAGGGTCTGTAAGGGGTCTCATCATTCCCACCATCCAGTTTGGCCTGGATTTGGTCTAAAAAGTGGGGACTCCCTGGATGTCAGTTGCCACGTTGGTGTATCCCCATTTCTGAGCCGACCATGCTGACCAAACTCTATTATATATATATATACAGAGATAATAAAGATTATGCAGAAATCATATAGAGATTATGCAGAGATTACAAAGAGACATAAATAAACATGAATACATATATAATATATCATCATATATCAATATAAATAAATGACCAGTCAGTCACCTCGTGAAAATTCTCAACCATTTCTGCCCGTGCAGACCTCTCAGCTTTGCTTCCAGCAACTGGTGAGGCACTCCGGATTTGGTATTATCAAAGCTGCGACAGGATAGGCTGTCAATTGGGATCATCAGTCGAGCATTGCATGCAGGTATGAAAGATCAAAAACCTGGAAATTGCCAGATTGGGGCAGTGTGAGAAGGCGTTGAAAGGAAGCGGTTTTTGATGAACAAGTCCTAGATTGTGGAAAATGTAGGTATTCCCGTGCAGATGGCTTTCCAAGATCCCTGAATTTTGCTAATGGGTACTTAGCCAATATGAATATAATATATGAACAAATCTATGGGGTTCTCTGAAAATAGGGTACCCCATTCAATCCACTGGTTAGTCATCATTGTCCCTATATGTCCCTATTAAATGGCTATAATTGGGGGGCATACCGCATTTTTCTGTTTTTCAGACTAACCCATGTGTATTTATGTATATATATATATAATACATATATATATATACATATATATATAATACGTATATTACATCTTATCACCCCAAAGTATCCCACTAAGACGGAGTAATGACCATGTCGTTCCCAGCTCCTGGGATTCCAACCGCCAACCAAAAATCCGCAGTTCATCCTGAGTAGATCATTTTGCCAATGCAAAATACAAAACAAAACTCTTTCAACCGTACCAAAGTATAGCATTAAAAATGTACACTCCATTTTAATGAAGGGAATATTTTAAAAAATGAAAATGTAAACACTCCATTTGTCAAAACACCAAGCTGGCTCTACGTAATGCATTCTCCCTTTCAAGATCACGTCTTTTTCACCGCGCTTCGGCGCCAGTGTCTCGTTTTGGGCGCACCCAAACCACTCCGCCTGCAACTCGCTTCGGTCCAAAAAACATGCTAATAGGGTTGCAGGGTCACTGGAACGCAGAAAGAGAAAACTCTCCAGTACTCTAAATACCCTCTGAGAAGCTGTAAACGGACCCCAAAAACCAGCCTGAATAGAGTTTCGTAAGGTGTTTGGAGCTGTCTGAACCATTGACAAAATCCTTCAAGTACTCCCCTCCAATCAAACCTGGCAATCGGAAACTCTCCGTTCATTTTGGGGCCGGTCCATTGCCAGGTTCAATTGCCAGAAAGTAGTTCCAAGAGACAATGCTGATAGTAGTTGTAGTTTATTGACCATATTGAGAAATTCAGAATTTGACGACTATCAATTTTTGTGTGTCAAAATTGGATTGATGGCATACCAGCAACCTTATTCACCGGATATACCGTAGAGCCCAACTTGAACTGGGAATCCTCGTGGTTAACTATCTTCCTCGTGGTTGGAAAATGCCACCATGGAGTCAGGCAGCTTCTAAGTTGGGCACGGGTCAAAATGTGCAAGATTAACCTGTACATCTCATTTGTATTCCTTTAATTTGCTGATATTTGCTGTATATATCTGTACATGTGTTTTTCCTCGAGCACAACAGCCTCCCAACAGGTTCTACGCAAATGCGAGTTGCCAGGGCATACCTGGAGTTTCCATACATATACAAGATGAATAGATGTATTTCATATACCAATTGCTAGGGTATTGACAGATAATTTGGGTGAACAAAACACAAGCTAGAATTGGGAGCTGGGTCCAACAAACCTTAAAATTATATAAGTAACTTTGGAGATCACATCTCAAATACAAACAATCATTGATCTTGATCTGCCAGTGAGGCCATGACATGATTTTCCCACAGCTTAGCGTGAACTCAACTCCCACTATTTTGTTCGATAAGCCACCACCTTTGCTGCAGACATTGTGAGCCGTGCTCATTTCCATGCTAAGGCGGTCTTGATCGTAGCTACCCTCTGGTAATCTCATAGCTAAAACATCTACAAATGGGTGATGTTCCGCTGTCACGATATGGTGTTTCTAGAAATTGGGATCCGCAAAACCAATGGATTGCTTCCTAACAAAGAGTGATTTTGCTGCTTTCAGGGTTCCCAAAATTTTGCAAAAAATGTATAGATTCCTCCGTCAAAATTGCTAAACATCGACTTTTCCGGTATGGCTTTGTCTGAAAAAACAGGTACCTCGAAATCCACAGACCAGACCCAGACATGGCCTCCGCGGACGACCGATGTCCCAGTCCTTCCTCAGACAGTGCCCAACTTGATGGGAAGATGGGGGGGGCTATTTCATTTGATATGGTTTGAGGGAAATTTTACAGGAACCCCCAATATTTGATAGGAAAAACTGCGGAAACCCTACGGTTTCCGGTTTCAATTTTCCCGTCAACCAATCCAGCGACTATTTTTTTCAGGGGAAACGTAAGTTTGAGAAACGTCCATTTTAAAAGTGGCTGTTTACTGTGTTCACCAGAAAACATATTGTGCTTGATCGATAAACATGTCTTTTTATACACCCACTGGAATAAATTGGGATAGAAAAGCTTGCGAAAACCATTGGGGATTTAAAATGGGTCAAAATTTCAACAAATAGACTACACATTTTTAGCATTGGCCATACAATTCTTAGGAATACCTCTTTATTGCCTCTTTTTGGTCCATACCCACAGGATTCGTTACGGGGGCTACAAGATCTTCCAGTCATTTAAAAAAAACACGGTTCATGATAGTGACATGCTGTGTACTGCTTAAATGCTATTTGCACGATATTTCAGTTACAGAAGGTACAAACTTGTGGTTGGCATCATGAACGAAATACACCCGAAAGTTTAATGTGGAACCCAAAAATGACCGTTGATCTTTGGCGCGTGAAAGCTTTGTGCCATCCAAACCGGGGATCTGTCAACCTGACAAGTGATGAGCGGATTATAATCCCCATATGATCAATCTTAGTAATTCTTAGTAGCTACATCAGCTACATTTTGGTTGGTTATAATATGTTATAATATCCATTATAATTTTGCATCATCCCCATTACAATCCCCATGTCCTTCAAGCTACATCTTGGTTAAAAAAGAACAAAATCACAGCGAAAAAAATCCCACTGAGAGGACGTCGGCAGTTGATTCTCCAATTTTGGTTGGCTTAGTCGTCATTTTGGCTGGTTCAAGGCCTGATTGATGGTTGACATCTGCATATTGGCATCGATCGTCTACTTCAATTTTTCTATAAGCGGGAAGTCCGTTCTTCAGCAGCAAACTCTAAATGGTTCATTTGTCAAACTAAAAACATTGCCAAGTCCTGAACCAAAATTTTGTGGTGCTTATTCCAAATGATTTTACCAGGGCTCAGACAGATGAGCAAGGCAGAGAAAAGAAGCCGTCCCATTTCACCTATTTCCCACACAGGTTTCCAATGTTTTCTATGTTCTATATCTTTTCCAGATGTTCCAGCATTTTCCCATCATCATCATCATCATCATCATCATCAATCATCAATCATCAATCATCATTGGCGGTACTCCAAAGATATACCCTGGGATATGGTCCCAAAGCATTAAATATATACGTAGTTGTACCAAAGCATTAAATACTATGGATGGAAATTATATATTAGTGTCCATAATTATTTTCCATCGAATATGGAAACATGCTATGGTTTCCAGAGTTTTTGCCCGATTTAGTGGCTAAGCTCCCAGGCTTTTGCCTCACCAGCAGCAGGAGCCTCCTCACCTCTCCCAGTTGGCCACCTGAATCCACTGGGAGGGATTTTACCAGCCAAAAATGCTGACTTCATGGGATTTCATCGTCAAAAGTGGGATTTCATCGTTAAAATGCACAACTGGAAAGTGAGGTGTAAGCATTCTTAAAATGGGGTTCTAAGCAGCAAAACGCTGGTGAATCAATGTTACAATTATTTGGAACTTCAGGTACCTGCCAAACATGGAGATAGAACGAGGGGTATACTTGGAGTGTAAGAAAATTTTGAAATAAATACCATTTCATGCTGTACTCGAGCAGGAAGAGAAGAATAAGCAAAGGACAATTCAAGTTCAACAGAACTTAGCAGCACTTGTGGCTCGTAGCCTAAAATGTGAAGGAAAGCTGAATCTTCCATGCTATTCAATACATCCAATCATGGGGTCCGGTCTGAGGTGGGTGTTTGGGGGTGCCGTTCCAGTTATATAATCGGTGGGTGTGTATGTATGTATGTATGTATGCATGCATGCATGCATGCATGCATGCATGGATGGATGGATGGATGGATGGATGGATGTACGTATGTATGTATGTATGTATGTGTGTGTCTGTATGTATGCATGCATGCATGCATGCATGTATGTACGTATGTATGTATATAATAGTATGTATATACATTATATGTGTATAAATATTAAATTATATATATTATTATATTACATATATATATATATATATTATATTTTTATATTAAATCAAATTATATTGTATTATATGTTATTTCTTCATATCATATCATATTATATCATATTAAATTATATATACTAAAATATATATATATAATTATATATGATATTATATTATATTATATCATATTATATTATATTGTCTTAAATTATATCTAAAATTATGTATATACATATATTATATTGTATATATATTATATTATATATATATATTATATCAAATATATATATATATATATTATATTAAATATATAAATATATATTATTTAGTATATTATATATTAAATATTAAATATATATATATCATGATTTAATATTATACAGATATTATATATATTATATTTAATAGATATTATAATATATATATATATATTATATTATAATATTATATAGATATTATATATATATTATAATATATATATATACATATTATACTTTATATATATATTATATCATATCATATATTTTATTATATATATATGTATTATTATATATATACATATTATATCATATTATATTGTATATAGTGTTATAATTGTATGTACTATACATCCCCGTAACAGGGTTATATACCAACTCATTGTGATCTTAACCATTCCATGGTGATTTTAAGTATACATCCATAAGCGTACCACCACTCCTGGTCCCCTGTTCACGTCTTCACGTCCCAGATGCGATGGTAACATGCGCGGATGAGGTCTTGGCAACCTAGAACCGTCCATTTCACACCTGGCAACAGCTGGCAACGGCTGGCAAATTTCTGCTGATGTAACTGATGCCATCATTCATGGGGATTTAACCATCAAAAATAAATGTATACTGTGAATAGCTGGAGATATTATGGGATAAATGCTTACCTTCTGGTAGTTCAACACTCTGCTACAAGTATTAGTATGGAAGGCCCATTTAGTTCGAGGATTTACCTATAAAAAAAAGTTGGCTGATGTTCAATCCGCTACTGTCATGGATAAATATGGCAAGTATTCCAAGATGTAAAAAAGATCGAATTTGGGGTACCAATTGATGTGAAGATTGTCTCGCATTGCTAGAATTAACCCATCCGTTCTTGGTGGGTCCAATGATATTGAAACATTCCCATTCCCCAGCTGTAAACATAGTTTTTGGTATATTTAGCGGGCTGTTTGTATGAAACAATATGAAACATTATGAGACCCAAAAGTGTCGTTTCCACAGGAAAATTCATTTGCCAGAGCGCAAATGAAGGGAATAAGGAAGAAGCACTGGAAGGAAATTCAAGAAATCCAGATTGATGGTTCATGCCCCCAGATTTTCACCGACTATCCAGGTGAATAATATCACCATTGTTGTTGATTAGAAACCTGTTCTTTGTGGTTGTCAATCAAATGCTCACTGGACTGATGACCCCCATTGTTCTGTGACTCAATCAATGCTTTTGTTGGTTGAAATACATCCTTACTTTCGATTGTTGATCACCCGATTTGATAAGAAAATCGCCATTTCTGACAATTTCTGATGAAAAAATAACCAGTTGTCTGCTTAAATCAACCAAAATTGTTGGCAAAATAAGCCAGATCTGCTCCTCACCACAACTGCCCTTGGGCACCCTGTCCGCCTTCCCGTCGCATGGACTCGAAGCGCTTCAAGCCCTGCGACAGGAACTTCAAAACTGGACAATATGGTGTTTACTCCAACTACAGTAACTATGAGTGAGTTCAATTTTCCCCTCAACAATTCTTTATGATTTGTTCAATGTATTTGGGTTTGTGCATTTACGCATGTATATACATATATATATGTATACACATACATATGTATATATATATACACATACCATATACATGTATATGCATATGTATACATATACATAATATATCACATATGAACGTATGTGATATATTATGAACGTATGTGATATATTATGTCTTTTACATATGATCTTATATATATATATACATATCGAATATACACATACCAACACATACATACATATGTACAGTTATGTACATGTCATATATCTATATAATAATACATATATATATATATAATGGTATAACCCCATTTTGGGAAACAACCATTCACGACATCGATGCTGGAATTGCATCTGCCAGATTCATTCCATGTTTGTTCCAAGGAAACCCCCACCTTTAAACACACAAAAGATATCGCCATTGGTGGTTTACGTACCCCCAGTAATTGCCAAATCCCTCACTTCTCCAAATCCCCATACACTCCATAATGCTAGCTTAAATCTCCATGATGGTTCGTTTGATATAATTATCGAAGGAAGTTTAGAAGTGAAACTTCCGACAATATGGACAGTTGAAAAGCAGAGGTGAGAAGAGTCAGAAGAGACAAGATCAGAAGAAAGAAGATGCAGGTGCGCGAAAAGGTAGGAACGTCGTGAAACACTGAAAGTCGCGAAACACTGTGTTTTTCCAATGATTTGTGGCTCCGGTGGGTCGAAAAGTAGGCTCGCTAAAGCGGCGGGTGCGGAGCCAGCTGGCCAGATGAGAGATGAAAAATTGCACGCCGTTGCGGCGCGAAGCACATTTCCAAGTCAAAATGTACAAAACACACCAGCTTCGGACCACTTTTGGAAGTTGAGATGTTGAAAAAGTGCACGCCGTTGTGGCGCGAAGCACATTTCCAAGTCACACTGTACAAAACACACCAGCTTCGGACCACTTTTGGAAGTTGAGATGTCGAAAAAGTGCACGCCGTCACATTTCCAAGTCAAAATGTACAAAACACACCATGCTCGGACCACTTTTGGAGGTTCCGACGTCGAAAAAGTGCATGCCGTTGTAGCGCGGAGCACATTTCGAAGTCGAAATGTTAAAAACACTAGGGGTTGGGACCACTTTTGGAGGTTCAGATGTCCCTTCGCTTCGCTTCACTACACTACACTACATTACACTACACTACCTTCCACTACACTTCATTACATTACACTACACTACACTACCTTCCACTACACTCCACTACACTAAATTACACCACACTACACTACATTACACTACACTACATTCCACAGACAGACAGGTAGACAGATAGACAGATAGACAGATAGAAAGATAGATAGACAGATAGACAGATAGACAGGTAGACAGCTAGACAAATAGACAAATGAAAGCGAGAGAGAGAGAGAGAGATAGATAGATAGATAGATAGATCGATAGATAGATAGATACATAGAAGATAGATAGGTAGGTAGGTAGGTAGGTAGATAGTCAAAGAAAGAGAGCGAAAGAGAGGAGACCTCAAGCACCTTTCCTGCCATCCCTGATTCACAACAACCAACCTCTCCTATAGGTTTCCTATTTTTGAAACTTCCGCCACCGCCTTGTGCGGTACTACTGGTAGTCATTGACAAGTAGTTGAATGCCCTGTTTATGCAAAGTCCGGATACGCCACATCTCCATGTTCTGTTGGTTATGTACCCTCATGAATCCCATTGAATTTGGAATGTGTTTAAGCTATCTTCTATTTCCATTGTATCCTATTAAATCTCCATTCATTGGTGATTTCTCCCCATCATGGTTGGTCCAATTCCCAGTGCATCTCCATTATAAATCCATATGGTCCATCCCATTAGAATCCATAGAAAAACCAGTAGAATCCATAGAAAAACCATATAAAATCCACATAAATTAACATTATCTAAATCCCATTATCTCTCATTAAAAATATAAAATCCACATGGAATTCCCATTCAAAGCTCCGCTCTTTCCCCTCTCCGCCAGACCTGGCGCCAAGTGTCCACAGTGGAGCTCAAGGCCGCTTGGTGGCTGAAGGCATTGGGCCTGGGACGAGGATGGGATTCCCCATTCAGAGAGGGGAAAATGGGGAAAATCCTATCTGAATGGATAGCCGATAGCCATGATGATGGTATTATGATGAGGATGGCTATGGATAGGTATGACTTTATGAGTTTTTATGTGGATGGCCATCATCCCAATCCCAAATAGATAGGATAGATTCGGATACAGTAGATTGGGCGTCTGAGATAGATGTGCTTTGCAGCCACCATTTGATGATTTTCCACCATGAATCTATGTTGGTTTACAGCAGGGTATTTCGCCCTATTCAACGTTTACAGCAGGTTCATCTCCCACTCCCCGGATGTCTCGCCTGAGAGCCTTCTGCCGCATCTGCTGCAAGAGATCGAAGGCGCCCGGCCACCAACGACCTGAGGGCAGGTCCATCGGACATTGAAGAAAAAACGGTGATTTTAGGGGAGAGATCCATGAAAAAATGAGTTATTCCTATCAATTACTACTTTATCATGAAAAAAAATGCCCAATAAACATCAATAAACCAGGTAGTAGATCCACTATGTCATAAGCAAGCAACCATCTACCAATCATGAATTATCAACTATATCCAAATTTGTTTGGTGGCTAAAAAAAACATATTTGCTGGTCAAATCTCTAATTCGTAATCAATCAACAGTTGAGAAGTTTGGTCACCATAGGATTATATCCCCACTGTATCCCCATCACATCCCTACCCCTGATTCTCATTGTTAATCGATTGTATTCCCAAATAACCAAATATCCTCACTTTAGGAGGTTATATCAAGTAGTTGTATCCCTATCCCCCAACCACAATTTGCTATACCCCCAAAATCCCCAGGATATCCCCATTAAATCCCTATAAGGTGGCAAACTCCATTTAAATCCATGGTAAAATCGCATGAAACCCCAGGTCAAATCACAAGCGTCATGGCTCAGGTGGCACCCTCACCTGCTTCACAGGCCGTGATCGCGGCACTGCAACTCACCACATTCTGCGAGAGCCTGCACACATCATGGGGCCATGGGGGCTGTGGCCATTTTGAGGGCTAAGAAATCCCCGGGCCAATGGCTATGAAGATTGTAAATGTGGTTTTGACATGTTTTAATGGCTGACTGCTTAAATACTGTCATTGCGTTTTTCAAATGGCGGAATTGTCGGCTCTATCGGTTTTCAATGGGACAATAGTTTATCATGAGGATTTTCCCATTTCCAATGGGAATCCATCATGCAAGTTGTTCACCATTCCTTCTGAATATGGTAAGTAATTGTTCCAATGATAAATGTGGTCATGGGGTCAAAAGATGAGGTACCAATGGACCCAAAAAATCGATCGGTCCTCTTCGGTGTTTGCATTATCCCTTTCCTTTCTAGGGTGTCAATACTTTTGACCCATCCTGTAAGTGCTGTATACCCCAATGGAAATGTTCCGAGGGAAATTCATGATCAACCAGCTTTATGCAAACCCTAATTTTAGACAAGTAAGAAAACCCCAAATGCTGCTTGACTAACAACAGCAAAGCACCCCACAGTGGTCTCAAATCAGATTCGGGAATTACAGTAAATGGAATTAACATGAATTTCCTGAATAATATGTAGACGGCGATTTTCCGCCCCAAACTTTTTCCATGGAGCCCCAGCATGTCAATTTCCAATCGAAATTTTCCAATTTTGGGCTCAGCCCGATCAAATGATGTATCTCGCGTTTTGGCCCATCCGATGGTCCCAGGATATTCACTAACAAAACCAATAAAAACAATGACAATTGGAGTGAAAATCAGGCATTTTAGAGTGAAAACCAACAAAAAAATACAAAGCATCAAGGTCTTATTTATCGTTACGATATTTTACATTGGTTTTTCATTGAAATTCGCAGTGATTTCTTTACACAATTCACATCCAACCCACCAGCCGTCCTGGCCACTTGGGAAGCGATGAACAGCTCTATGGCCTCTTGCCACTGGTCGCCTGGGATCTGATTTGGATTTATGTGGGAAAAGCATAATCTGTGTAGTATTCATATTTGATTATTTTTGTGAATTTTTCAAATAGTTTCTTTGGAATGTATATTTCTGCGATTTTTTAGAAATTACAAGTATTATTAATATTGGATTTATTCAATGGCTCTCTGATTTCATTGAGATTCTAGAGGAATATCATTGATTATGTTCATAGCGATTTTCTGCCCTAGTTGCATCATCAATCGGGATTTGATCAAAGAATCAATAACCAATGACATGTCAATGTGGCTATAGCCAGAACTGGGAATCTCCGGAGTCATCCATGGCTGGGAAATCCCACGAACTTGGCATTGAAATGGGAAAATTACCTGAAAATGGTTGGATGTTCCATGGCCACGCTTGATTACCAGAGACGATGGATTTTTCATGGAGGTTGCATTGGGATACAGCTAACAGCCTGATGTCTTGGATGTCTTGGAAAAATGGGATGGATCTCCCCAAGTTATGGTCACAGCCTATAGGTTTCACCAACAAAAGCTGGGTATACTTCTGACCGACCGGAAAACACCAACTCAGAAGAAGAAGATTGGGGCCATTTCAATCCATTTCATACTGATAGTTTGGGTTCATGTACAATCCGTTACAATCCATTTGGGAAACTCCATCATCTTTGTTTGTCTCCCCAATAGGCTGTGTAGCCATCGTTAGCATTGGTGAACATGCCCTTTTTGTGTTACTCCATCCCCACTTGTGTTATTTCACCTACCCACTTTGTGTTTTTGAATCAAGAAATCAAGATTTCTTGGCCAAAACCCGGGTTTCCTTTATTGAAATCCAATTTTCCGAGTGTCTGCGTTTTGCCATCACCATTAAATATCATTCAATCCCATTGAATCACCATCAATCTCTATTGAGATCCCTTAAATCCATATAATATCCACCATTCAATCCCCATTGAATCCGATTATAGCATCATCTTTGTTGCTTTTTTAACACCATTTCAGATGGTGAAATCCCCCGCCTTTCTCCAAAGAGGTCATGGCGGCGCTGGTCACATGTAGGTCGCAGGGGACGCCGCCGTCCTCACCTTGATGGCTTTGCTATCCATCTGTCAATATCTGTCATCTATGCGAATCATATGCGAATCTATAGATGGATAATAGTTATATCTCCATTTAGGTGTTTATCCATCTATCTATTTATCTGTGGTTGGTAGTTGTTATCTGTATGTATCTATATATATATATCTTATCTAAACTTTTCTTATCTAATCTATTGATCCAATGGTTTCGGGGTAGAAACATGGTAAAAATGGTATTTGGGAGTTTCATCAGAGGTATACCCAGATTTGCTGCATACCCTCCGGTAGTGAAACATGGCAACCCAAATTCCCTAGTCTGGACTTGGAAGAGTTCACCATGGGATGACCCCTATAGATCATGACGAGGAATCATGGGAAGGCCTGTTCTGACTGGGTTGCACTGGCCCAAAACTATGTGTGTATATAACTGTATATAATATATATATATATATTATATTTATATTATATTATATTATATTATATTATGTTATATTATGTTATATTATATTATATTATATTATATTATATAATATATATATATATTATATTATATTATATATATATATATTATATATTATATATTATATATATATGTATATATATTATATTATATATATATTATATATTATATATATATGTATATATATTATATTATATATATATATAAGTTGGCGACTCGACTCAATGATCCTCTTCCCAGTCTGCGAATGTGCCACCACATTGTCTGCGCCACAATGGAAGGGAAAAGTACATATGGACACGTTTCAATTTTTTCATGACCCCTCTACTCAAAAGTGAAACAAGAAATGATACTCATAGCATTCAAAAGTGGTTCGAATAGTAGCACTCAAAACAATAAGAAATGGGTGTCTGTTGGAAGTAAGTGGGATGATCTCTAGTGGTTCTGTTGGAATATGAACAGTATCTTGGATGTTATCTTTTTAGCCGTATGCAAACATCACCAAAGTGTCGACACAGGTCAATGAAGCCTGGGCGCCCGTATGTTGATACTCTATTTTGAGAGCGGCAACCTACCCTGCCCTTAGGCTTCGCCAATTCATCAATTTCGCACCCCCCTGTGTGTCTCTGTGTGTGTGTGTGTCCTTTCGGGAAGTCAAAGCCCCATTTTCGTCGGCGAACATCCCCATCGTTGTCGGCAAACCACGTGAAATTGTCACACCCGTCCATCTCCGCTCCATTACGATACTCATCATGGTTAACCACAATTTAATGTTCATACCGGAGTTTCTCTAAAATATCATGAAAATCAGGTTTAAAAATGAAATCTAAAATATAATTTCTTTACATAAGAGATTCCCATCAAAACCTCAATTTATAAGAGATGTCGATTAGTTTCCCATCATTTCTGCCGGATTTGGGTCCACCGGCCCACACGGAGGTGCTGAAGAATTTTGCCAGTCACCTGTGGCGATTCTGCGGTCTGGTGTCCTGAAAACCATGGCAGAACAATACTAAAATGGTATTTAAAACGGTTCATGACTTGGATGATTTGGGGGTACCATTTTGGGAAACCTCCATATTGTCTTGAGGCTACAATTTAAAGGCAAAAACAGCAAGATCAGCAAGAGAATCAGTCTGTTGATGGTCTATTATTTATTTTATTTCCCCATTCATCCATCAAAGGGACCGCCATTGCTTTTCATCTACCCAAGCACAGGTTTTTACCTCAGGAACAATGCTCCAGCACGTGTGCCTGAGGGCCCCCTGGTTCTAATATAAGCAGTATCCCCTGCAGGAACCCAAACCTTTTCACCAAGGTTTAACCTGTACCCGCCAGAACAGGGGTTATACTTGGTTTCACCAAGTAAATGGTCGATATACATCGATATACCAGGCAGGTATACAGGTAGATATACCAATTTAATAGTTGATATTTGGGTTTACCTGGTCATTTTTGGTCCATCTACAATGCTTTGACGGTTTACAAAGGCCCAATCGCGGTGCTTTGTCAATCACCGCAAAACCATCCAGTTGGGTTTTACCCAAATTGGGTCCCATCCCGAATACACCAATACCCACAGTGGCTACCCTGGTATTCTCAATACACTATGTGCTGGTCATGCACAATATCATGCCTCTAATAAGTCAAGATTATGTCAGATCATAGTTATTGGCCCCAAACAAAGTTGTACCCAAATATTCGTTGAGTATCCATGATTATCCCAAACTAACATACCCCAGTTGGGTAACTAATATACTCCCAAACTATAATATCCCCAAACAATGTTCGAAATTCGTTCCGTTTATCCCCATGACCTCTTTGAGACCCCAGTTAGTTATCAACATTAAATTGTAATATCCAAATGTTATCATCACCCCATTAGTTTAATATGATTAAAGTTAAATCACATGGTTAGTACATGTTAGTACTTAATAATACCATTGAATATATGCGTGCATTATTAGTTTGTAAACTAATTAATATATGATATATACCAATATATTAAACAATACTAACATTACCCGTGTAACTCTATATTTACCAATACTCGCGAATATTATATGATATGATATGATATGACATGATATTCTTCCTACTATATCACTAATATGATACTGCTTACTAATAATACTTACTAATACCTACTAATATAATAATAAACGATACTCATATTTCAAATTGCTTACCCGCCCCAGTGCGCCTTCCACTGCTGCTCTGTCTGGCAACTGGCAAAGGCCGACGCCGCGCTCACCGCGTCCAGGCGCAGACCCTTCTGCTGCGCAGAGCCTTCGGTGGCGACCAAATAAAAAAGTGAAAACTAGGGATTTAAGCATCACAAATGGTGATTCATGTGGATTGATAATGACTGAACCCACAAGAATGGTGAGTTAACTGAGAAATACCTGGGTTTATGATGCATATCATGGCTTTTGTGTGGGGAGATAAAATGAAAAAATCATATATCACTGAAAAATAATGACTATAGGACTAGGATTATAACATTACATACGGTTACCATATGTATATATATATAATTATATATATATAATTATATATATATAATTATATATATATAATTATATTATATATATAATTATATTATATATATAATTATATTATATATATATATATAATTATATATATATAATTATATATATATAATTATTATATATTATTAAATTTCACGAGCTCCTGGGATTTTGTGATTTTTAGGGATTATTGGATATCAAGTCCAGATGCAATATTTGGTGCAGTGTACGCGCACAAGGGTGGCACCAAAAAACTTAAGCGTCATGGTTTGCACGGGTTTGCACTGGATCAGCCTTCCATAAATGGAAGTGGTCCAATTAATCGTTCAGAAAAATGAAACGGTCGGAAACGGTCGGAAACAGTCGGAAACGGTCGGAAACGGTCGGAAACATGATCAGGCCAAAACTTGTTCAACCCGCATTTTTTTTTAAATAAGCATTTCCGACCGTTTCCGACCGTTTCCGACCGTTTCCGACCGTTTCATTTTTTCTGAACGATTAGTTGGACCACTTCCATTTATGGAAGGCTGATCCAGTGCAAACCCGTGCAAACCATGACGCTTAAGTTTTTTGGTGCCACCCTTGTGCGCGTACACTGCACCAAATATTGCATCTTGACCTTGATATCCAATAATCCCTAAAAATCACAAAATCCCAGGAGCTCGTGAAATTTAATATTATATATATATAATAATAATTATATATATCCGCCGACCCCTGCCGACAGCAGGGGGAGCGCGTCAGAGAAGAGATGACCAGCAACAAGTGTCGACGCGGACGAAACAAAAGTAAGAAGCAAGAGCGAAGGATCAAAGGATAAGAAGCAAGAGCGAAGGAGACATGGCAGCTCAAGACGTAAGAAGCCGAAGCAAGAGCGAAGGGGCCCGCAGGCTGGAAGACAGATAAGACAGCTAATTTTCTTGTAGGGTCAGAAAGCAACGTTAGGCACTGGGGGCCGTTGCCCGCAGGCCCGGTCCGTCCCTCAGGGCCCTGTTGTTTCGGCGTGGTGAGGGCGCCGTTTGTGAGCCTTGGTGGCTGGAAGACAGCTCAGACAGCTAGTTTTCTTGCTAGTTTTCTTGTAAGTTCAGAAAGCGACGTTAGGCAGTGGGGGGCGTCGCTCGCAGACAGCCACAGCCTGTCTGTCAGGCGTCTGAAACAAAAGCCACTCCCACTCTGACTCAACTGTGGCAAGTCGCAAGTTGTTGGCCTTCCTAGCAGTTAGCGGCTTGAACATGAGCAGCGAAATGCCCTCCCCGATCCCTGCTCTTTCGGCGTGGCGAAGGCGCCGTTTGTGAGCCTTGGCGGCTGGAAGACAGCTAAGACAGCTAATTTTCTTGTAGGTTCAGAAAGCAACGTTAGGCACTGGGGGCCATGGCCCGCAGGCTGGAAGACAGCTAAGACAGCTAGTTTTCTTGTAGGTTCAGAAAGCGACGTCAGGCATCCGGTCCTTGTGGAACTTGTCTAGCATGATGCAAAAAAGGCCAAGGACCACCGGGGTCGGCGGCAGGGGGCGTAGCCCCTTAGTCCGGCCAGGGGCCCCCTGGCCGTGGCATAGCCGAAGGCGTTTCCCCCAAGTTGAGCCCACATTGCCCTCAAGATAGGCCAACATAGCCTCAAGATGGGCCAACATAGCCCCAAGATAGGCCGCCGACCATCAAAATATCCTGCGTTTTACAATGTTTTTTTGCTATTCCCATTTTTCGGATCTTTCGGCTCAACATGGGTCAACATGAGGCCGACATAGGCCAACATAGCCACAAGATGGGCCAACATAGTTGGGCCCCTGGCCGGCTGTCGCGCGTAAGCGCTTAAATCCGGCCAGGGGCCCCCTGGCCGTGGCATTGCCGTAGGCTTTCTCTCTTCTCCGAAGGAGAAAGGGGCTGCCGCCCCTGCCGCCGACCTCCGGTAGGGTGCGCGTGTCGACAGAAACCCCTGTAATTTACAGTGTTTTTTGGCCCTGCGACATTCAACATGTTTTTGCACAAACATCGCACATGCGGCTCAAGATGGGTCAACATGGGCACCCATAGGCCTCAAGATGGGCCAACATAGCCTCAAGATCGGCCAACATAGCCCCCAAGATGGGCCAACATAGCCCCAAGATGGGCCAACATAGCTCCAAGATGGGCCCACATAGCCTCAAGATGGGGCAACATAGCCCCCAAGATGGGCCAACATAGCCCCAAGATGGGCCAAGATAGCTTCAAGATGGGCCCACATAGCCCCAAGATGGGCTGCCGACCATCAAAATATCCTGCGTTTTACAGTGTTTTTTTGCTGTTCCCATTTTTCGGATCTTTTGGCTCAACATGGGTCAACATAGGCCTTAAGATCGGCCAACCTAGGCCCCAAGACGGGCCAACATAGCACCAAGGTGGGCCAACATAGCCCCCAGATGGACCAACATAGCCTCAAGATGGGGCAACATAGCCTTAAGATCTTGCTCCCAGCTAGACCCATATCACCTCAACATGGGCCCCTGGCCGGCTGTCGCGCATAAGCGCTTAAATATAGTTAGTCTTTGCAAAGGCCTTTGGATCACATTGTACAAATATAGTAGATCTGCTTAGATGATAGTTAATCTGGATAAACCTACGAACCTGGACTATAATCCAATCTAAATTAAATCAGTCCTCCAGGTGGATTAAGAAAAACGTCGGAATTCGCGTGTGGGTTAGAAAATAATCCAATCCCGCCAGATTTGAAAATGTGAGACCTAACAATGATAACAACGTATAGGGGATATCCCATGGGTGACCGTAAAATGCGGGACCATTTTAGGATCTGTTACCCATACTGGGATGATCCCTTGACCAGAAATTGAGGTAAGCCCAAGAGAATGGGGGGTTAAAGCACGAGAAGAAGGCACCGGCAAAATGTTAAATTTCACCGGTCGAATCAAATTTGAGCGGTGAAACTGGATCTATACACTATACAAGTTTCTGAGCCCAGTACCCAGGAGCAGCAAGCCCCAAGACCAGATATGACCTTGGAAGACGCCAAGGTCATGGTTTTTCATTGGGGAGGTGACGAACCATTATTGGGGAGTTCTCCTGTGTACATCATGAGATTTACGGGGACCAAGTGGCACCAAAACTGATGATGGTTCGCGGCAGACACCAAGAGCAAGCACAATCCGAAAATGCTGTTTTGGTGGGAGGTGCTGGTTGGTGCTTACACGCCCAATCGTTCACAGCTAAATACCAATCTATTGCATATGGTATAATATGTATATATATTAATAATATTATGATGTATGTGTATATATGTATATATGCACCATTTTAAGATGAATAAACAATTAAGTTTCAACCCCCAAACATATCAAATCCCAAATTGTTTATATATTCTCAAAAACATTAAACAAAAAACAACTTGTACTACGTACCATGCATTTAAATCCCACGCTTGATGGTTAAACCCACCATTTCCACTCCTCCCAGCTCCCCATGGCATCCCCATGTCGGGGCCCATGTCCCTGGCATCGCAGGCAGGCAGTGGCCATGGCGTTGTAGGTCTCGATCTTCGGCCCTGGGTCGTGTCGTGATCAGGTGAACATCTGTCGGGAAGGATCCAACCAATCTTTGGGATATTGCTACGAACAAGAATCTTATCAAAATAGAAAGTCATTGGAAGCTGATCAAATGTGTCAACCACTAAAAATTGGAGAGATTTGATTTAACTCAAGCTAAATGTGAAATGGGATGCTAAATGTGGAGACCCCAATATGTCGACATATTACAATGGAAAAGATGGATGATTCACCGCGGGATGGACTGGTGCCATCCTTTGCATCTTCGAAACTCAGAGATCCAACGGTGTCAGCCCTTTCCCTTCCAACTATCCGACGGTGGTTCGAACTGATATTCATCGCCATGTGGTTCGATGATTTACCGATTGAAAGTTGTGATTTCCATGGCTAAGCTACTTTACCAGACGGCAGTCATCCCTAGGTAGATGGAAGATCCCAAAAGTGGCCGCTGAAAGAGGACTTCCACTTCAACTATGGCCACTTTGGGGGTTCCGTGCCCAAATTTCAGGCGGTTGCTCCGGGATGGAAATACTATCCCAAGTCACCCATGTTATACCTACCACTATCATCCACTATCTATTCCTGCATATTCATCAATGTATGTATCTGTATACCGAACAAACCACCCACCTGTTTGCAAACAGACTGCGCGTGGAATGATATGGCCAATCAGTATTCCCAAAAACTGGGAAAACCCGAACATCCAGTGGTGTATCATCATGTTCCTATTAAGACTGCTAAGACTTGGTGGTTAATCCATAATTTTGCAGATCCACCTGCTCCCCCAAGAAAAAATCGGGTATGTAACCAGCATGAAACAAAATCGCCACAACTCTGTCCGCATGTCTTGGGATCACCACTACTCAAAATCATGGTCGAAGAAAAAACAATAGCTACAGTAGCCATCTCGGATATTCATTGGATAGCCATGTCGCCTCTATATCTGAATGATTGCCATATAATATTGCCATATAGCGTTGGATAAATTGAGCAATCATTTTGGATCGCAACCATTTAATGTTAGTAAAGCAATAGGGTTCACCATCCCCAATTTTACCATAAATAAATAGGTGCTACAAACCATCAATCCATATGGGTGGTTTGCTAGCATTGTTCCATTATTACAAACATATCATTCCACAGGGTTACAAATATGAACATATCATTCCACAGGGTTACAAATATCATTAAATAATGTTTCTAACTAATCGAAGGAAGTTTAGAAGTCAAACTTCCGACAATATGGACAGATGAAAAGCAGAGCAGGGAAGAGGCAGAGAGAAGAGAAAGATTAGAAGAAAGAAGAGTAGAAGAGAAAGAGTAAGAAGAAAGAAGATGCAGATGCGCGAAAAGGTAGGAAAGTCGCGAAACACTGTGTTTTTCCAATGATTTGGGGCTCCGGAGGGTCGAAAAGTAGGCTCGCTAAAGCGGCGGGTGCGGAGCCAGCTGGCCAGATGAGAGATGAAAAATTGCACGCCGTTGTGGCTCGAAGCACATTTCCAAGTCAAAATGCACAAAACACACCAGCTTCGGACCACTTTTACTAGTTGAGATGTCGAAAAAGTGCACGGCGTTGTGGCGCGAAGCACATCGAAGTCAAAATGTACAAAACACACCATTCTCGGACCACTTTTGGACGTTGAGATGTCGAAAAAGTGCACGCCGTTGTGGCGCGAAGCACATTTCCAAGTCAAAATGTACAAAACACACCAGGTTCGGACCACTTTTGGAAGTTGAGATGTGAAAAAGTGCACGCCGTTGTAGTTGAGATGTCGAAAAAGTGCACGCCGTTGTGGCGCGAAGCACATTTCGAAGTGAACATGTACAAAACACTACATGTTCGCGCCACTTTTGGAGGTTCAGATGTCGAAAAAGTGCACGCCGTTGTGGCGCGAAGCACATTTCGAAGTCAAAATGTACAAAACACCACATGTTCGCGCCACTTTTGGAGGTTCGGATGTCGAAAAAGTGCACGCCGTTGTGGCGCGAAGCACATTTCGAAGTCAAAATGTTAAAGACACCAGGGGTTCGGACCACTTTTGGAGGTTCAGATGTCGCTTCGCTTCACTACACTACACTACATTACACTACACTACACTCCACTACACTACGCTCCACGACACTACACTACATTACACAACACTACAACTACAACTGCACAACTACACTCCACTACACTCCACTAAACTAAATTACACTACACTACATTAAATTACACTACACTACACCCCACTACACTACACTACATTACACTACACTGCACTACCTTCCACTACACTTCACTACATTACACTGCACTCCACTACACTACAACTACAACTACAGCTACAACTACACAACTACACTCCACTACAATACACTCCACTACACTCCACTACACTAAATTACACTACACTACACTACATTACACTACACTCCACTACACTGCATTACACTACACTACCTTCCACTACACTTCACTACATTACACTACACTACACTCCACTACACTACAACTACAACTACAACTAGGACTACACAACTACACACCACTACACTCCACTACACGAAATTACACCACACTACACTACATTACACTACACTACACTACATTCCACTACACTCCACTACACTACACTACATTATACTACACTACATTACACTGAATGACACTGCACCACAGATAGACAGGTAGACAGATAGACAGATAGATAGACAGACAGGTAGACAGCTAGACAGATAGACAGATGAAAGAGAGAGAGAGATAGAGAGATAGATAGATAGATAGACAGATAGATAAATAGATAAATAGATAGATAGGTAGATAGGTAGATAGGTAATGAGATGAAACAGAGCAAAAGAGAGATAGATAGATCGATAGATAGATAGATACATAGAAGATAGATAGGTAGGTGGATAGTCAGAGAAAGAGAGAGAAAGAGAGGAGACCTCAAGCACCTTTCGGTCCATCAGTGGATTCGCTCTGCCATCCCTGATTCACAACAACCAATCTCTCCTATAGGTTTCCTATTTTTGAAACTTCCGCCACCGCCTTGTGCGGTACTACTGGTACCATTCAAAGGGAATACATGTTACTAAAATAATGGTTTATAAAATTGTATATTTAAATATTATAAACCCATATATTCTTGCTTTACTATGCTTTACTATGCCATGATTCCCGACGCTGTTTTTTCTTCCGGCCGACCACCGACTGAGTTTTCGGCTGAAGAGATTCTGCCGCAGGGCTCCAGCCACCTTGGGGCAGGCGTCATGGGATTGATGAACTGGTGGATGAAATGGTGGATTGGTATGGGATTTATGATCATTTAATGGGATTTAATGGGATTTAATGGGATTTAATGGGATTTACCCTCTGGTTGTTTAAGATAGCGAACTGGAAGCCATGGCCCATTTCGTTCGATCATAAACATGATGATTTAGCTATTCAAAATGGGGATTGCCCATTAGCTACCTTAAATAACCAGAGGGTATATCGGGGATAAATCAGGAACGAAACAAGGGTTTACGGTGGTTCATGAGGGTTGGTCGGGGTTAGTACTGTAGGGGATGATCTCACTTTCTTAGGGGTCAAACCACTATCTAAGCCACAGGAAAAAGGCACTATCCGATTGCCACAAACTGGTCGAGCCAGTCCGAACATATGGAATCCTTCGGGGATCATCAGACCGACCATGGTTGAGAAACAAAAAAGCTGATGTCGAGCAAGAAACAACTTGATTCAACCCCAGGTGAAGGCCAGAAGTATCAGGCCGGTGTATTGTCTCAAGCTGATGTCGATGCTCAA